TCCAGGACGCCAGAGTCAGACAGACACGGGTTATGTTTTAGAGACAGGAAGGACGCTCTCAGAGGCCCTTGCTGGAGTCTCCATGGGGTCCAAGGGGCTCCCACGCCAGCACGAGTCAGCTCCTCCCCATCACCTCCTCTCGCTCTTCCCTCTGCTGCTCTCTGCCGGCATCTGTCAGGCGCATCTCTATGTACCTGGACCCCAGGGTTGACCACGCCGTGCCCAGTGCCCTCTCCTGGTCAAGATTCCGTTTGCCTAACTGGCCGGGTCCCTGGCACAGTATTTGAGGAACCCCTGTGCTGCCTACCCTGGCCTGCTGGGCTAGCGGGAGGGAGGAGCCCCCTCCTGCAGGCTGCTTCCTGAGGGCAGCGACACAGACTGGACACGATGGGGCAGGACTGCCTATGGTCCCTTCTCTTTCCACTTCACAGCTCTGTCAGACCCCTCACCCCACATAGAAACAAACAAGCCCCTGAACTCAGGGCATGCTTTCTGGCACAGTACCCAGCAGGCCCAGGGCACACTGGGGCACACTCAGGCACCTACCACCTCCCATTGCAGTGTTCAGGAGCCCAGCCAGGACCCCAGGCCCTCCGGTCATCAAAGCAGCAGGCCCGCACGCAGGGGCACCCACACAGCCCTGAGTGTGACCCCCCGGCTTCTGGCCCAGGCCTGTGGCTCCTGTCCTTGCTGTGCCAGGCTCCTGGGTGTCTTCCCGGACCTGCAACATCCTGGGAACAGCTCTACATGCCAAGCCTTGTGCCTGCCGGCCTGCCTGCCTGGCAAGACCGAGGCGCCCGTCAACATTTTCAATAACCAAGAGAAGTGTCCTGTTCTATTAGTTTTGAACCCGTGAAGTATGGCAAATGCTAATGGAATAAATAAGTGGATAAAACATTATAGATTGACTGGAGTTTCACACTTGTATGCAAACTAAATTTGCAATATGTGTAATTATGAATAATAAAATTGAAAGTGACTTAAAACATTATTGAATTTATCTTGTTCCGATAGCAACATTTAGAAACGGTATTTTCTTATTTGATATTAAAATTAGTGTTTCTGGGCAATTGCCAAAGTGATTTAATGAGGGAAAGAATAATTTTGTCAACACATGTTCCTGGAACAGGTGGAAAAAATCACCTCTGCCCTTACGGCAGTTCCAAATGGCTCACGGATGCAAATGTGACAATTTATACTCTGAAGCTTCCTGAAGAAAACACAAGGAAAGTTCCTACAATCCTCAGGCAGGCAAAGACGACATCAATGAGGAACAGAAGGGACTGATCAAAAAAGAGGAGATGTCTACCCGTGTCAAGTCTCACAAACTGTGCAAAGGGAAAATTGCAAATTCCGTGACAGGTAAATTATTCCTCAGTAAAGTTCACTAGAGGAAGAGAAAAAATGCAGTTACTATTTACACAAATGTTCACAATATATTTTTGTATGTAATGTTGGCCATGGTTTATATTCTTTAGAAATCTCTTAAAGATAAACAAAAAATGCCAGTAGGGCCACTTCTCCTTGGACTGCACACCCCGTCTCTGTCCTTCGCATCTCCTTTACTCAGGACTGACCGTCATGTCTGATTTCCCAAGAGCTTCATGTGGATGCACACACTGGACATCTCAGCATTTAGCATAACTCCAGTATTCAGTAAGTGCTTATTATAGGCCCAATGAATTAATTACTGTAAACAAGTACTCATGCAGTATAACTGAACATGTGGAAAGAAGTGGGCAGTGGCAAACCAGTATCCAGTGTTTGTGCAGGTTCAATAGGGTGGCAGGATGTGAAAGGAACATACCATTATGAAAAGGGGTCAAGGAAGGAAAAGGGAAATGGGAGCTTCAATAAGTGTAAATTAAATATTGCGGCACAATTCATAACAGCCAAGATATGAAAACAACCCAATCGTCTGTCGAAGGAAAATGGATGACAAGATCATGGCGCACGCGCGCGCGCGCGCGCGCGCGCACACACACACACACACACACACACAGAGGAATATCATTCAACCTTAAAAAAACATGAAAATCCTGCCATTTGCAACAACGCGGATGAATCTAGAAGATGGCATATTAAGTGAAATGAGCCAGACCTTGAAAGAAAAATACTGGGTGTCACTTTTATGGGGAATATAAGTTAAATATGTAGAAACAGAAAGAATGGTGATTACCAGGGCTGGGGGTAGGGGAGGAAACAGTAGGTGTGGTCAAAGGGCTGGTTGCAGACCTGCTGAATGAGTGAGTCTAGAGCTCAGGTACAGCCTGAGTAAATGGTGTGGCCCTGGGTCTAAGATCCACGAGAGACAGCTAGTGATGGTACTGTGCACTCTGGCACCATGTCGTATTAATCTGACTGTGCACACATATCAAAACCACGTGTTGTAAACAAACACATGGAAGTACATAAAGGAATACAGAAGAAGATAGTATTGAGACTTTGGCTTCCGTGTTTTTAGGACCAAAAATATGTGCAAAATAATCTAGGTTGTTGTGGGTGGTGGGAGGTGTAAAAACAGCAATACTTCTTCCAGTGGAGAGCCTAAGCATTGTCATGGATGATAATAGAAAAGAAAGGAGAAGGAAGAGGAGACAAATAAGCCAGGGGAACTCTTTCTGTTTGTCCTTTGCATTGAAACCCAAGAATTTTGGGAACAGTCCCTGCTGCTGTCAGGCCTGCTTATTAAAGACCTGCTGGGTGGGGGGCACCCTATTATCTACTGCAAATTGGCTCATTTACATATTTAACAGAAATTGAGAGGAGTGTGCCTCTTTCTATCAGTAAGACAAATTATCTAATTCACAGCCTCACAGAGACACATTTCAAACACTGACTACGGGACCGGACGTCAGTTTGGGTTTTTTAAATAAAATCATGTTGGAACAGCAGAGGAAAGAACAAGGGCCCGCCCCGCCCCAGTGGCCCAGAAGGAGATTCCCACAGAACAACTGGGACAACAGTGCCGAGTGGAGCTGGGTTCTGGGTTTGACCCAGGGCAGGGCCGACCTACGGGTCTAGGTAATGGAAGAGGCCGTGTAGAGGGTCCTTGAGGGGGCTCAAGGTGGTGGGGCGAGCCTGGAGCCAGCTTGTCTGAGCTGCGTCCTGTGCTGGGACTCTGCACACAGGGGTTAACTGGATGTTTGCTCCAATAATAGAAAGTGCCTTGTGAGATGGGTATCTCATTTCTACAGGAAATAAAACTGAGGATCAGAGAGGTTGAAGTAAATCTTTGATATATTTAGCTAGCAAAGAGCAAGTACCAGGATTTGAATGCTGATCTATTTTCAATGTGATAACCATGTCCAATACACTGATTAGAAAGCCCTGGGGATGCCACTGGGGCCTCATACCTGGAAAGGTTTGGGGAACACAAACATAAATAAGTAAAAATTACAGAGGCGGGGAGTTGCCCCAGGGGCTAGGTGAGAGCAGTGCAGAGATCCCACAGGGAGCACGGCATCTGTGGATGGCAGGTCTAGTCTTCCAGATGAAAACCTAGGATTGGATTTTATAAGTGTCAGGAAATTGGAGGGACTCAGTGCAGAGATTAATAAACTGGCCCAGCCCAAGCCATTGGACCTGGTTGAATCAGCACAAGTGGATTTCTTCTGTATATAATCAAGGGGAAATAAAACTATTTAAGCCATCAGCTAAGTGTTTCTTGCTGTAAGTTACATAAGCCTAATTGGAAAAGAGCACCGGAGTCACTGGTTTATGGTTCCTCCTATAGTTTCCTGATAATAGGAGCTTCACTCTCCCTTTTCCTGGAATGAGGGATTTAATCTTCGATGGGAAAGATACAGCAGACCTTTGACTTTCAATTTAAATAGCCCCAAATTGGCGACCATTCATTGTTGGTGGATGCGGCTGCCTTCACAATGGGGCATTTCACAGTCGCGCTCAATGGGGAATTCAGCTTTCTCAGGTCGGAGAGGATGAATCAGATTGCACACTGCTCAGCAGGCTGAGCACAGCAAAGTGCCCCAGCTGTCATCCCAAGAAGACTGGGGTGAGGCACCAATATGTACCCAGAGAGCGAGTTCTCCATTAGCCAGATGGAACCTCAAGCTGTTGCCAGAACTGTCTCAACCTGCACTGTGAAGCGATGCACTGCTAGACAAAGAAATATGGATCGTCCGCCGGCCCTTGAGAGATGAGCGGCCACGTGGCCACCGATGCCGCTCGGTCCTCCAGGGAGTGGCAAACTCCTCCTGAGCCACAGCTAGCCGTCCTGGCAGGGCCCTGACTTCACCGCGTGCGTCCCAACAACTTCCGTGTGGGTGGCAGGGCAGACGCCTAGCTCGGAGGTCCTGGGTGGCAGCCAGGGCCATTGAGACGGCACACGGTGGTTCCGGCACAGTGGCACATGGCTGTGGTCAGGGATGGGGCAGCTTCTAGGTAGAAAACCGAACTGGACACAGCTGCAGGCACAGGGGGAAGAGGGCAAGGGACGGGTGACGTGGGAAGCCTGGTGGGGCTTGCCGTGGACAGGGGCTCAGGGGGTGGAGGAGCACCCTGGCTTCCTGGAGTCCCGCGGCCCCCTCATGCTCTGCAGGCCCAGGGAGGCGGAGGGCCAGGACTCAGTAAAGGAGGCCGCGCAGCCTCAGAACCGAAAACTCACCTGAGCTGGCGCTGGACTGCGCCCCAGGCCACCTCTGTGTTCGCTCTCTTGAGCTTGACCTGTTCTTCCCCCGCCCAGTCCCCGCCACTCCAGAGGCTCATCCTTCTCTGACCCACACACTTCCCCAGGCTTCCAATCAACCCCTTCTTCGGGTCTCATCAGTGCCTGTCACATCTCAAATTCTAGTCTTTTTTTTTTTTAATGTTGACATATTTCAGATTTAAAACAGTTTAAAGAATAGCACAGAAAATTCCTGATGCTGCTCACCCAGATTGTTCAAAAGTCAGCCTTGGCCCCCTTTGCTCTTTTGCTTCATCCTTCTCTCGTTCTCTCTCCTCCCCTCTCTCTCCCTCTTGCATACGCACACACCCACCTATATGGCTTCTCTGAACCTTTTAAGAGTAGCTGCACTCGAGAAATGTTTCATCCTGAAACTCCAGTGAGACTCTGTGGGTTTCCAGACCAGCTGTTTCTCATCGTCCTGCAGGAGGATGAAGTCAGGAAGTCACGGCACCGTCCTGTCACACAACCAGGAGACAGGAGACCATGGGCCCGTTGCTCTGTAGGCCTCAGCTCAGCTTGCCTTGGTCTGGACTTCCTCAGGATGCTGCGGGGCGTCCTTTTGGGCAGGAATAGGACAGAAGGGACCCTGAGCCCTTCCTCTCCTGAGCAGGCCGTCAGAGGGTGCCTGCTGCTCACTAGTCCCCTCCCTGGCAGTTAGAGCTTCAGTCTGGACTTTCCTTTACTGAGAGCACCAGACTCCCAGGCCAGCTGATGACCAAGGAGCTGTCGCTCAAAAACCAGGTCCTCAGAGCAGCTTCCCGAGAGCCCTGCCCCAGGCAGCCTCCCAGTCCTGTGGCACAGCGTGGCCGAGGGCGGCAACATGGCTCATCTTGTGCACTGCTCGCAGCACGCTGAAGTTCTTGAATTATTTACTCTGAACTGGGGAAGACTGGTCTGCTCGCTTCTGTGTCGGAGAACATAACAGAGGTGTGGTCTATAGCAGTGCCTAGCACACCATCTGAAAAGAGTGGCCTTTGGCCACCTCAGCAGGTCAACTGAGCTGTCTGCTGGCCCTTGTGCATCCCAGAGCCCTTCACCTCTTCCTGTTAGCACGGGCCTGCCAGCATGCCAGGGACACCGTGTAGAACTGCCCACCACCACTGAGAGGCTATTCTGGTTGCTTGGAGGGACAATTCTCACTGAACTGCTGGGCAAAGGCCACATGCTGTTCAAGTGGTAGTGAGAGGGTAGCTCTGTGACATCATCCCTAATGTACAGCAGAACGGACTCCTCATCTGGGACCCCACTGCAGTTTGTGGTCACAGTGCATAGCACACAGCCCACGGTGGTCTGCTGGGGAGCTGGGTGTCTTCTGAGATCCCCAAGGTCAAGGTTACTGCATGTCTCCAGCTCCTGGCCAAACACAGGAAAGGGCTTTTGCTTCTCCCTCTGCCTAATGAAAGCATCTACCCAGAAAACCAGCAGGAATCCCACCCAGCTTTTGTGTGTGTTCTTCACAACAGGCAGGCTGAGGGTGACTTCTAGCTTTGATGGAATGAAACAGGACCTCCATCCCCCTACCCAGAGCCACCAGCCCAGTATCTGCCCTGCTATTCTGATACTAAACAGGAAATTCCAAATTAGTCACTTTTTGGCTTAAGATTTCAAAAATGGCCCCTGAGCAACACTCATTTTTGAGCACTATTTATTTTGAGCAGAGGTGCTAAAGGATTAAGCAGCACATTTGCTGTTCAGCAGGGGACAAAATGCCTTTGCCTCAAAACAACACTAATGGGAGAATTTCCAAGGGGAGAGGCTGCTCTAAAATAAAGGAGAAGCCAGAACTCCAGGGGTACCAGGCATTCAGCTCCCTGGTTAGCCTCAGAGTGCACCGTTCCTCTGTTCCCCCAGCCTGGCTATTCTAGTGGCAAAAAGCCCAAATAAAAAGAAATCACAAAGGGACAAATAATAGGGAGTGCTCTTTGTACCCATGTCCTGAGTTCCTTTACCCATCCTCCTCAATGGGTTAGAAGAATGGGCTTCTAAGCCCATCCCAATCCCTCCTCCCCATAGAGGGGCACACAGGGCATGATGGCTGTGTGCGAGGTGATCACATCTGTCAGTGTGCATACATGTGCACGTGAAGCGTGGTGGGTGGAAGGTGTGAGGGAGAGGAAGCCACTTTTGCGTGTGTTCTTCACAACAGCCAGGCCGAGGATGACTTCCATGAAAGGGGACCTCCATTCCCCCACCCAGAGCCACCAGCACAATATCTGCCCTGCTATTCTGGTACTAACCAGGACCCTCCTGAGAAGATAAAGCCTGGCTGGCCCCCATGGGGGCCAGGTCTGCTTTTCTCCTAAAGCCACCAGCCTACCTGGTGAGGCGAAATTTCTCTGGGCCTTTTCCATAGAATAGGTCTCTGTTTGGAACTTCTGCATTTTCTGCCAGTCCTTTGTCACTGCCGACTAATTTTGCTAGTCTCTGTTTCCTGTAAGCTGAGGATCCTTTCCCTTCTCAGTAGAGGGGGAAAGAATGAATGTGCTCCGTAGGACTGAAAACCTGTGAGAACGAGAGAGGATAATCTGTCAGTTATGCGTGAGTGCAGAAACCCTAGGGGGAGGTGAGAGCCAGGTGACAGATAACTAAGTTGAATGTGAAGGGCATGTAACCTGACTCATATCTGTTTACACTCTCTTAAAAAAGGAAAATTATTGAACAACAGTTATCTCTAACTCAGTGTGATTTCCGAGCACTCTGTCTCATGTGGGGACTGGGTCCAGCATGCAAACATGTTTGGATAATTAAAAAGTATGTTATCTCTTGCTGGTTTATTGCAGCCAGAGTGAACTGAACACCAGTGCCCCTAATCCCATCAGCCTGTCTGCGGGAAAGGTCAGGGGTCAGCAACTGCTCCTAAAAGCACTGTGCAATTGAATCTAAACCAGCCCCTACCTACTAAGCAGCTGCTCACAGACAATTCAGGATCTGTCCTCCTGAGATCCCCAGGGACTTGTCCAGAAGAGGCCACCTTCAGAACAGAACCCTGCACCTCTCCCAGCTCATCTGACAGTCTGGAACCGGCATCAGATATCTACTTTGAAACAGGAACGCAACGTGATTATCAGAAGAAATTTAAATTCTTTTCAAGTAAATTTCATTTTTATTTAAAACAAAAATGTTTTTAAAATCAGTTTTAAGTGAATCATTGTCTATGAGAAAATATGGATGTTGTTTTTAACTATAGAAATTTTGTGGGCTGGCGAATGCATAGATGAAATAAAAGAGTCTGTGGGTGCTTGTGAGGGCCAACACCGAGGGGGACGCTGGTCTGACCGGATGGAAGGGAGCTGGGAGTGCACAGGCCTGCAAGTCCAGGCTTGCCCTGCAAGAAACACCCACCACCCTATCCTATATCTGTGAAAATCCCTGGGCAGAGTTATGCTCCTTAGTGATGGCTTTTCAGTTGAATTTATTTATGTAGAATTTGGAGAAAACTAGAAATTCAAATAAATCGAGACTACGTGTGCAGTGAGGTGAAGAGAGGAAGCTCAGCCATCACCTGGTGCACAAGCCAGGACCCTGTGGAGGGCAGGAGGGTCAGCATCCCTCCCTGGGCCATGGGCACTTCCAGGACCCCACATGGGACCACAGGACTGAGGAACAGGAGAATGGTTATTATCACAGAAGGATCCTTCCTTATATAGTAGTATCCATAATGGTAAAAATTATACAGAAATGTAAATTTGAGAAGTGAGCGCTGCTCATTTTCCTCCGCCTCACTTTCTTCTTTGCATGCTGGGCTGACAGAGGAGCACTCTCCTGGTTCGGCTGTTGCCCCTCTCATTCAGTCTACTTCCTCTCCCAGCCCTCTCCAATGATGGGCTAGACCTGGCCTCTCGAGGAGACTTCTGCATGTATTTCACAATCAATGGCATTGCTCTTGTTCGTACAATCCATATATTTTTACAAAATATTTATTCAATGTTGGCACTATTAGTTTTGCTTTAGGTGATATATGAAATAGAGGGCCCATTTTTCTTTAGAAGAGGACACGATTTGTCACACACCACAGAACATTCTAGGCCCACTGCCCTGCCTCTTCAAGGAGCACTTCCTTTCTCTAAAGTTTGATACTAAAATAACAAAGACTGATAGCGTCTCGCAGTACTGTGCTATCAGCTTTCTACAGCTCTCTTGGTGAAGCAACTCCACACCTCCTCTAGCTACCTACATGCAGTGTACTCTGGTGGCGCTCACCCTGCGCCTGCAGAACTTCCCCATCAAGGGTGCTAATGGGACAAGGAAGAAGATTTGATTATGGATTGTGAATTAAGAGAGCAATTTTGCACTGATGTTCAGTTTCCTGATTTGGATGATTAGAGAATGAATATGAAAGAGAATGCTCTTATTCTCAGGAAAAGAGAACTAGGGGGTTGTCTTCAGCATGTGACTAGTTGTTCCAGAAAGCCTGGACGGGGAGCACACAGAGGGATGGGGGAGACGGGTAGGCAGCCAAGGCCTGAGGACACACAGGGGGGTCTGGGCATTTGTTGCACCTCTTCTATAAACTGAAATTATGTCCAAATAAAATCCAAAACTAAACAAACAAACAAAAAAACAATACTTAAAAGAAAGTATTATTGGGCTTGTGACATTCAAAATTTTTTTTCTTGGTTATTTCCTCTTTCTTTTCTAAATTGAAAATATACATAAAATTAAAGCTCTATGAAGGTGTTTGTGTGTGTCTTGCACCCCCAGAAGTAGCATTTTAAAGTAATATCTCCGTTTATAGAAAAATAGCCCCGCTTTATAGGAATTCCAATCAAAATATTTAGAAAATACAGAGAAAATGGCAAAAAGTCTGCTGAACAGTATGATTTGATCTTGGACTTCTGCTTCCACCCTGGGCACTCACAGGGAGTGCAGCCCCCGCTCCCCGCGTTTTGGTCGGGCAGGTATTTCTTCCAGACCCTACTCAAATCCACAGTGGACCTCAATGATTTACCCACGGGAGAAACAAATATTTCCTTGTTCCTGTCATTATATTCCCTAATAAAACTGTACCTTGCTGGTGTGAAGTATGTTCATCAGGCAGAAAAATATCCCCAAATAACACTTTCCCTATAGGAGGAAATGCTGGGGTCAGGATTTGCTGTGGGCGAAATTACAACACCCAGAACCCAAATATTGATGTTGCAGAGTGCTGGCCAGGTCCTAGGAGAGACGTGGCTGAAGGTCGCCTTGGACGGCCAAGCCCTAGGTCAGGCGGCGCAGGGCTCAAGGGTCTGTCCTCCTCTCCCTGCCTGGGTCCACACAGCCTCACGGAAGAAAGCATCCCCCAGCCCACGGGTGCACTGGCTTCCGGCCTTATATGAATTGCACTGGTCTGCGTTGTGCAATTCAGAAAAATGAATTGACACACTTGCGGGGCCGGGCACAGGAAAATACCTCCATTTCCCGCCTGCTAATCCCTTCCTTTGGCGGCTTGTTGCTTTATTGTTTGACTTCACGTCCTAAATAACATCTCATAGGCAGCCCCCGCTTCCCTGAAAGCCAGGGTGATGGTGGGGGAGGGGCAGCCCTGTGCTCTGCTTTCTTCTCCCTTCCTCTCTCCCCTCCCCCATCCCACCTCTCCCCCACCTTTTTTTTTTTTTTCTTTTTGTTTAAGAACTCCACCTTCCTGCTGGAATTCCAAATCATTTCAAAGTCCAGTGGCGGCTTCTCCTCCTTACATACCCTTATTATTTCAAAGCGAGGCCATCTTAACTGAGGGAGCAAGTTTATTCAGGTGGCATGAATCAAACAGGGGCTCTGCAAAAGCTAGAGCTGCAGACAGCAGCCCCTGCGTCTCCCAGTCCCTCCTCCCAAAGAAGCATAACAAAACCCCAGAAAAACAGCCGCCAGTAATCTCCCTGCCTTAGCCAGCAACAGGGGTGAGGGAAAGCTGCCCTCTCATTATAGCCCTGGTCTCAAGGTTAGAATTAGACCCTTAGGGTAAGGAGCTGTCAATTAGAGATAACTCCAGCCAACGCCGTCTGAAGCGGGGGCTTATCTCCTAGCAACTCTTCATTCAGGGCACAGCCCCTGGCTCTGCCCGCAGCTCAAGAGCCATCTTGAAGACAGTGAAATAACCTTTTTCAATCTGAGCAGATGCATAAAGAATTCTACTTCCCCAGTCCTCGATGGAGCCTGGGTGACATTTGACTAGAAAAGGGGTGGAATCTGGAAAGAATTACGATTTTCTTGTGTTCCACTTGCAGATGTTTCCATTGGAGATTTAATAGAAGTATCTGGCTAAACAATCAGAAAATCTAAATTCAATCTGATGCTGGAGACCTCCTTCTTCCAGATATGAGTCTGTCATGTTTATGTATAAGCTGACATATTCTCCCTCGCAATGCCTATTTTATGCTTAGGAGGAATTTGCCAACAGTGGAAATGGAGTGGCTCTGGTTACCAGGGGAACTCGGCCTGTCCCTTTATCTACCATGGCAGGGCATATAGAAAGCCAACAAGCATAAATCCTATTAAGAAAAGCAGAGGGTTATGCACCATTGATGTAGGGAACATCTCAGAATTTACTACTAGACTATATATTTGGTACAAAAAAAAAATCATGTGCATTCCTTGGAGATGTCTCTTCATTAGATTTAGAAATCATGGTGTTGATTTTTCTAATCTCAAGCAGAGAAAGAATGGCAGAATACCAGGGGGTGGGGAAGAAGGGAGCCTTTGATTTTCCACTATCTACAATAACAAAGGGATACCTCAGCAACGTTGTAAAATAGCGGATGCAAAATATCCAGCGTGCTGCAGGGTGTAAATCAGGCACTGATCTTGGAATTAAAGATGTGAATTAACAACGCCTCCTGTGTCCACCATTACTAAGAACAGGGCCATTTTCCCAGAGCTTTCCTGCAAGCACCCCTCTCACCCCTCCATGGCTTCTGCTGCCATGAGTTTGTGGTGTCCTTCAAGGCGCCATGGCCACTGAATTTCATACCCACATATAGACCCATAGACCCGTACATATGCTTCCTACTTTACTTGTGAAGTAATTATTGCGTGTGTTTGTTTTTATATTTAAGTAATTCTCAGGTATATTGGGAGCAAAAGTCAGGCAGTCAAGAAACTGACATACATCAGTCTCCTGGACTAGTATGTGCTGGGTTGGAGAAAAGAACTGAATTCTGGAGAAAGTCAATCCTGGAGCACAAGAATGCAAAACAGCCGCCCTGCTGTATGTGTGGGGTGTGTGTGTGTGTGTGTGTGTGTGTAGATCGGTCTTCGCTATGCAGCTTGATAAATCAGATCCCCCAACCTGAACAGCTTCGGGTGGATTTACTTTCACCCTCTCTAAATCTCAGCCTGCAGATGGGTTCCTCATTAAGCTCAGATGGACTTGCTTTTGCATTACCACTTGTCAATATCACAACACGCAGGGAAGCGTTTTTAAAGAGAAGGAGAAAGCTTAAGCAACTTTGAATGAATCTGTGTGTGTCTGTGAAAGGTATATACATGCAATCACACTTTGGTCTATTTTAAAAATAAAGGTTCCAATTCATGAAGGAGGGAAAAAAAAGCTGGCAAATATATCACAAAATATCCAATACCTTAAAATAAAGTCACACATAATTTTCAGAAATTAAAGTTTTCTTGTTAGTGAAGAAGAGGGGATACAGCTTTGTGAATTGCTTTCAGAAGGCAGACATCTCTGGGTTGTTTTCCTTTTTTTTTTTTCCCACATAAAAATATAAAAATATTTGAATCAAATTTATTGTTCATATCTATATGCTGCTGGAGCATTTTTACAAATGCATTTTTAAGCATCAATTCTCTCCAGTGTAGAGACCATCCCTTTAATGCTACTTGGCATTAAATTTGAATATAGTAGCAAAAAATTGACTTAAAAAAAGGAAACATCAGTAGCCATCACAATTTACTTATTAGACAGCAGATTGGTGATGTCCCCAGGACTCTTATGTGGACTGTCAGTGCTGGTTCCCTAGGAGATGACTGAACTTAACTGCTTCGCTGCTGTAAGGACAGAATGAATTCCGGGAGCATCGTCTGGAAGCTCACAGGCCCGCC